AATAGCATCAAAGATGTTGACAAGACTGCAAGATTGGCCGTGTGTTTATTCCGAAGTTGTTCATATGTGACGATTAGTTGAGGCTTCCAATTAGGGGTTTGAATATTCGATAAGATGATGGAATATGTTAATATGGGTTGTACTTTTGATTCAAATTTTTAACGAATTCTCTTTTCTGTTTTTTTTTTACAGTTCTGTATAAATTTTTAAGTTGATAACTGTAATTGTTCGTACTTTGTTTCAAAAAGAACAAAGGGTATTCCCAAAATGCGCACTTTAATGAGACGTGCATTACTTTATAATTGCTTGAAATGTACTGAGATAAACACTTTTGATTAAAAGTAAAAATTATAAAAAAAATATAAAATAAGTATAAAAAATATATTGCTTTTGCAAAACTAAAGCAGAGATATTAGAAAAGCTTGATAAGGGCGTACAAGCAAATTATTTAGCTTTGGAGAACAATATGATAAAATCTGCTATCACTTATATTAGATCCAAAAAGGGTGCTATAATTGCTGCTGCTTCTTATACTTAGGAAATGGAAACAAAAAATTTTTTGCCTGATGCCGAATATTTTCTGATGGAAACATATCTGTTTAAATGGTTTTTATATGAGTAAAGTGTACACTTAATGGACTAATGTTAAAGACGAACGATGTATATTCTGATAAAAATGCATCAGCGTTCAAAACAAGAAATGAATAGCTCACAAAGTAACAATAACCGTAACGATAACATTGTAAAAAATGTAACTAAATCTAAAAAACAAACAAACATTACTGAATATTTTATACAATAATGCATAATAAGAATTGATTTCAACTGTAAAATAAAGTTTTTATGTAAAGTATTAATTTTTTAATGATTTTTCATAGAAATTAAAACTTTTCGCAAATTCCTGAAATTCCTGGTTCTAATTTTTGAGCCTCTACTGTATTATTAGTTTTATTTCTAGTAAAAGCTAGGTAAAAGTTCCTCCTTTCAAGGAGAATATAAACCATTAATAGAGCATGAATATTTCTAATAATACTGCTATATACTTTAAAAATGCTGACGATATAATTTTTGTTTGAGCAGATATTAATCGAAATATATTAACCAAATATTAACCGTTTTGTTCATAAATACTTATAAAATTAGAATGCTTGTGTTGTTTTTATCTTTTTCTCAGTGTCTGATAGATAGTTATCAGTACCAATGAAAGAGTTTTTTTATTGATGTTAAGGTAAAACTTTTTCAATAAAATTGTAAATGGGGAATCACCGTATTTTTTGAGACTGTTGGTTACAACAACAATTTAATGGAATAGTGCAAAACTATTGAGTACTACATGACCAATCTTTCAAAATAAGTAACACTGATTACTATATGCAAAATAAAGTTTTAGTTTGAGTTTTAATGTAATTATATAAAAAAGTTAGTTAAAATAAATTTTTTGAATTGATATTTATCAAATTGATGCAAACATAAAAAAATGTATATATTTAATATTATTAAATAATTATTAATTAATTAAATACCTAAAATGCATTTTAAGCTTTGAATAACTTTATATAAATTTTAAGCTATTACACTCATAAAATTTTGAATATATAAATATAAAGGCATATCATACTTACCAAATATGGCTTTCTTGCTAACGGCATTGTCATTAAAGCTAATGTGTGGAAAAAATGAAAACGATTTGCTGTTTTTAAAAGAGTTCTAGCTTCTTTTTGGTCCATTGGATCCTCCATGCGATCTATAATCGCTTTTCCATATGCACCCATTATTACAGCTGCACCGCCACTGATGCCGGCTAGACGCACAAAATTATAATTTCCACCAATCAAATCTTGAAGATTTACTTTTGGCGGTGGTAGAACAGGCACGACAGCATTATTTACATTCGTGTTCTTCGGTGTTATACCCTACAAACAATATACATTTATTAACAATGTTTTTATCAGTCTAAACACTACTACTTACAGTACTCTTGGCAATTCCGCTTACAACGCCTATTAGCCCTTGGCTTATTGGATTGCCAAAAATCAGGTATCCCATTGTATCACCAAACGACATTTTAAATTTCGGCTTCTAATTACTCGGTTTCAAATAAAATAACTTACTTAACAAAATGAAGGACGTTTTTTGCAAAACAGTTCATAAGGAATGCATATAATTTTACAGTGTTGAAAAACACATTACAGAAATCGCTCATATTACATTTGTACTTAAATATATGTTTAACTGCATAATACCAGACCGACATTAAAGCATGATATAGACGATTCTGCATGTAAGATAACCAAGTATACGTATTCCTATACACTTTGAAACAAGGTGTAATTTTAAGCCATACATGTCTGCAGACCACAATTTAGTGTTCATACTTAAATAAGCACAGTTTAATACATGTAAAAGAGCTTACAATTCTATTGTTAGCAAATAATATTTAGGTCGTGTGCGAGTTAGGCTAAGTTGGGTTCTAAATGAGGGAAATTCTAAGTTGTGTCGATACACTGTTAGTCGCACTGTTCGACTAACCGCTGCTTGATAACATGCTAAATATCGATGGCAGTGCAAAAAATCCTAAAATCAATCTCCCAGTTCCCTGGTTTTAGCATCAACCTTAGCGCTACACTCGCCACACCGTCCTAACATAAGTTTTGCTGAATACTTAGGTCTGTGCGAGTTAGGCTCAAGTTGATCGACTACACCAAATGCGGATGATTTTTTGGATTTTTGCACTGCACACATTTTGCCATTTATCAACACGTATCGACACATCAATACATTATCGACACAACTTAGAATTTCCCTCATTTAGAACGCTTTTTGGCCACGAATGCTTAATCAGCACACGAAATTCACTTTTTTCCATTTTCATAAAAATTCACGAGGTTGTCTGCTTTAAACGGCTATCAAAGACCAAAAAGCCACTGACTTATCAAATCGCCCTCGTACTAAACGTTTTGTAATTATGAAAATAATTTATTACATATAATTTAAACATCCGAAAATAAAAACCATTTGCTATAATAATGGCATTTGATGTGATGCAAATACCAATTTTAACTACTTTTGCTTAAAAGACAGTACATGCGACGTTAGCTATTCGCGTTAGCGGACTATATTTTTTAGTTCCAACAAATCTTTGCAAAGTGATTCAATGCGGCCTTCTCTTAATTGGGTTTAGCTACTGACGTAGTTAAGAATTGTTTGCTAAAAGGAATTATTTTTTAATTAATTACTATACTTTGCAACACTTAAAATTATATGAATCTTACCAACTGTTTAACAGCTGTTGCAATGGAATTGTTTTTGTTGTGATCTCCTCTTTCACATTAGTATTTATAGTCAAAAAATGAATTCATTAAAAATTATTCACAATATACAAATAAGCTTTGTTCGTCCTTTTGCGAAACAAATACCCAGAAATCTTAAAGGCAAAAGCAAAAGTTCTCAAGAATGGCTAACACGACAATTGTCAGATCCATACGTAGAAAAAGCACGTATGTTAAATTATCGTTGCCGTAGCGCATTTAAATTGCTCGAGATGAATGAAAAGTACAAAATTATAAAACCAGGAGATGTTGTTATTGATTGTGGAGCTGCGCCTGGAAGTTGGACTCAAATTGCAGTAGCAAAATCTAATTCAACTGGCTCTCAACAACAGCAACCTAAAGGTGCAGTGTACAGTATGGATTTGTTACACTTCCATGGCATACCGGTTTATAATTTAAGAATACATATATCAATAAACTTAATTAATTTTTTATTTTGCAGGGAGCTACCATATTTGGTGGTATGGATTTTACAAAACCAATTTCCCAACAACGGCTTAAAGAGACCTTAGCAGGACGTGCAGTAAATTGTGTTCTATCAGATATGGCGCCAAATGCGACGGGTATACGCATGTTGGATCAGGAAAATATAATCAATTTGTGTTACTCTGTTTTACGGTTTGCTTTAATTATGTCTGCAAAAGGTGCAAACCTCGTTGTTAAAGTATGGGACAACGGAGATGTAGCGAAACTTGAAAAAGATATATCTCGATTTTATGATAAAGTAAAACGTGTTAAGCCACAATCAAGTCGTTCCGATTCTGCTGAACACTTTTTAGTAGCACGAAATTTTAAAGGTTTAGATGAAATTAATGAGAAAAGAGAAAAAGAACTCCAACCGTGACATAGAACAATTAATTGTAAACATATTTAAACAAATTAAAAATAATTTATTTATAGTTAACCTGTTAAGTAAATACAATAACCGAATAAATTAAAAAAAAAAGCAATATTTATATATAAATCTAATCCATGGTTTGTCAAACATTAAAAGTTAACAGTAATTAATTTGATGTTTTAGTACTTTCTCCACTTTTCTTATAATGCGTCAAATGATCAATTAAATAAAACATCCATTCTGGCTGATCTGATGGTGCCATATGCCCAGCATTTCTTACCATTATTTCTATAAGATGGCCTGCATGTTTTGCATACCCAGCAATTTCTCCACCAACTTTCCAAATTTCTCGTTTGGCAGTTTTATATATGTCAGAACCTGGAAATTTTAGTTGGTTTAAGTAATTTCGTGTTAAGGGATAAGCAACAATAATATCCAATTGACCATTGTAAATGCATACTGTGTAGTGTTGTAAAAGGTCTGCTATCCAAGGGGCAACAGTATCCATTACATCTTCTTTTAAATGAAGTTCAACCTTATTTACTACGTCAGTATCATGAAACGTTTTGTTACCAACATGAATGGCACGTCGAGTTGCAGTAGTTTGCAAAAATTTTCCCAAAACTTCACCAATACCATTGTCTTTAGTTTTAAGGTAATTAAAGTAAAAATCAAAACCGGAAAGATTTTTAAAAAGTGAACCATTAGTTAAATCTCCATTAATAAGATAATCAAATGTATCGAAAGCACAATTCATATCATGTCTTTTAATGCAGTTTATACCTTTCAATTCATATTCATGGAATAGACTCAAACCATTGTCATCAATCAAACCCAGTTGATATAAATAATCGCCATACTTCAATTGATGTTGTGGGTCAGATAGACCATTACCAATTGCAATTCCTTTTAACGGTATAAATACGCGCGTATCAATAGAGTTTTGTACTTTACTGATATGATATGCTAATGCTGGTACATACTTGCCAGCATACGATTCACCTGTAACCCAAAAACCATTCGTAGTCTTCCAATTAAAAATTTCATAGAGCTGTTGAACAGCTTCATGTAAGTTACGGCCAACATCTTTCTCATTTTTTGCATAACCCTCTTCATGGTCTGTAAAGCTAAATCCGGTACCAACAGGGTTATCTATAAAAATTAGATTGTGTGTACGTGACCAAGTATAATTCCGCAATTTCAAATGACCATTTGATACAATATCAAAAGGACCATTCTCCGTAAAAAGTCCAAATAATGATGAAGCACCTGGTCCACCTTGTAACCATAATACAACAGGTGCATAAGCCGGACTCTCCAAAGCAGGAAAATACCAGAAAAACATATTCGAATTGAATTTAACGTCAACTGTCAGGTAGCCAGAGTAACTTTCTACACCAAGAAATTGCGAGCCTTTTACCTGTGACATGTTGCGAATCTGTTCAGGCGGTAGTGTATTAATATATTGTGTCAAAAACAATGGTTCTCCAGGATCATCGCCATCATTATATAATTTATATCTTGGATAAGGATTTATAAAACTTCGACGATTGGCGTTTTTTTCCGCGGTAGCAAAATTATTCAAACTGCAAGCAATACTTAAAACAAATAAAATTGTGATAAGCGAACGACGCGACGCCCAACAAATGATGAACTTCATACTGCTAAAATACAATAAAAAGTTTTAAAAACTATA